AAACAGGTGGGGAAAAATTTCCTTCTTATTTTCAGCAGGGCAGGGTTATTCTGTATTCCGTTGTACTCACTGCTACTAAATCCTCAATTTACCTCAGTATTTTCATACAAGTGCCTGTATTCTGCTCAGTGCTCTGTACACACACACACGGCCACAGCAGAGGACTCTCTAAGATGCCTTATCCTGCCTCTTGGATCCTTCGTGGTATTGGCACATGGATTCCTGAGGCATTATTACCTGTCTGTCTCTACTTCCCACCTCTTACATGTCCAAAATACGCTTTTGAAAAGATTAGCATACATACCCTTCTCAAAAAAACGCTTCGAAGAGGTACAACATCTTGGCCTCTATTTATAGAAAATAAATACTTCCACATGTGAAATGCTTCCAAAAAATCAAATGCTTCCTTTCTTTTCTTTATTTCCTTTTTTTTACTTTGTTGTCAGTGCAGTGAGATGTAGCTAGCCTGTTGTAAAGTAAAGTAGCCTAAAGTAAAATTCCTGTTGTGTCCTGTCCTGCCAAATGGTGTTAAACCTCCCTGAAAAGCTCAGCTCTTTTACTTTACGGATCTTGCTCTTTACTAGTAAGAGCAAGACTTCACTGGCCTTGCTCCTACTCTACCTAAAGAACCACCTTCTTCCCCACTGACCTTGTGTCAGGGTAATGCAGTGATTTTTGTGGGTTTGCTTCACAGATTTGTAAAATGGACAAGAAGTTAAATTACATCAATTCTGTTAATTCTTTTTGAAAACTTAACAATTAACTTGCACTGAGTATAATGGACTATTTGTATCAGAAAATATACCAAAGATGCAAAGCAAATCTATTCCAATACCTGTGTTCTTTCCCTTCAGCCACCTGGAGAAACTGGGACATTTCTTTTCCCAAGGCCTTGTTTCAATGTAACATTTACATAGTAAACAACTATAAAAAGAGTATTTTATGTTTACACTTTGTACAGAGTATAGATGGCAGAGCTATGATGATGTAATATAGATTTTGGGAAATTTGCATGTGTTGAGAATGAAAAAAGATTATGTTAATTAAGTAGTGCTGGAGAGCAGATTAATTACAACAGGAAAGTATTTGTGGTCAACACTGGCTCAGGAGCTCTTCAGATTATACATTACTTTGTGTCTGCAATATAGAATACAGAATTAGAGCTAGGAAAACTCAACTTCTGAATGAAAAACTTGGGTAACACCAAGATGACAAATACCTGTAAAATCTGCAAAGCCCTTCTGAGTCCTGGAATGACACGGATGTGTGACCGTAGGATGAAACATACATTTAATGTGTTGACATATGACATTTAGTGCTGCGTATGGAATGTCTGTGAGGTTGAAACAGTCGCTGTAAAATCATTTTAATGCTTGTAATGATTCACTTTCACACTGCCCTTTTTCTGTGTGGCCACTCACCACTTTATTTTTTTTTTTTAAAGCTGAATAATTTGGGGGGTTTAATGTGCTTTGTTGAATCGGATAGTTCATGGGTTTAATTGGTGCTGCTGTGGCTGATTGCCTGAGTGAGTGACAGCTTTCCTGTGTGTCCCCCCCAGAACCGTCCCTCTGTCATCACCTGTGCCTCTGCCAACAACCGCAACTGCAGCCTCTCCCACTGCCCCATCGCCCACAGCGGCTGCGGCTCCGGGCCTGCCTACAGGAGACCCTCCAGCAGTAAGTGACACCTCCAAACTCCCCACGGCCTCAGGAGAATCCCAGGAGAACAGAATGGGCTCACCAACCTTAGCTGGTGCAGGCACTGATGTATTAACAGCAATAAAAAAAGAGGTGAAACAATGGACACCTCTTTGTATATCTGCTCCCTGGACATGCACTTTCTAACCATCAATCCTGTGCCACTGAAGAAAGTACCAATTCAAAGTAAGGGGGGGGGAGGAGAGAGGTGCTCTTTCTTCTTGTTTTGAAAAGCTGCTTTAAAAAAAAACACCCCACACAGACAAATAAGTCATAATGTTTATTTTAGTCCATCTGACAAACAGCAGCCAGGGCCAGCAGATCCAACTATGGAACCATATTTTAGTAGCTGTAGTTTCTCCAGTCTTTCAATAGCCAGTAAACTCTTACTATTCAGCTGCAGTCACAAAAATCTTTCCTGCAGCTACAAATACTCTTCCAAAGCCCATACCTTCCACCCAGCTCTGCATGGATAACACAAAAAGCTTTGGAGGGCAGTTGCTACAGCAACCCAAGCAGGAAGTTTTAACTTTCTGCCTTCTATGGTACTTTTCATTCAGGCAATACTTGCTGGGAAACATGGGCCCATTTCTGTTCATCTCTCCCACTGCAGAGTGAGAAAGCCCAGGGGAAGCACAGCCCTTTCATGTCAAGTCCTTTACCTGCTGAGGCAGAGCTTTAACACAGCATCGCTGAAAGGTCATGGCAGTGGGGCTTCGTCAACCTGGATGTGTCCATGGAACAACACCAGTGTGTTGTAGGCAGGAACCTAGAAGTCTATAGTAGGGTATTAGTATTATTAGTAGCAGTGTTTTTTTGATTTTGTAAAGCTCAGTGTATTGTTGATAACTAGATTTAGAAGCTGAAGAGCTAACTAGAATTAGAATTAGAAGCTGAAGGAGACCCTTAGACTCTTGAACAAATCAGTCAATAGGGACCTCAGCTGTTACAAGTTTTCTCATGAACTGGTGTTACTGGTCTCAGGAGAGCTGCAGGAGACCTCAGCTGCACTTACATGGGCTTGGGAAGAAGGGTAAAGGTTTCCAGAAAAGATTTGTCTCCTGTCAGGTGAAGAGGTTTATGCATGACACTCACATTTATTTTGGGATCAGTCAGACCTTGCTGTAGCACAGATGCCAGTGCCGTGGATCCCGACAGTTCCAAGTGCTTTCTGAAAGATAATTCTCATTTAGACACAGATACTGTTTCTAAAACGTAAAACTGCAGCTCTCTCATATTTGGTCTGAGGAATTACTGTACAAAACCTGTCTTTTCAGGTTCTTTGTTCCTTTTTTAGTAGTATTACATCAGTTTAATGCACCCAGTGCAAAGGTAATGATTTCATTTAGTTTGCTGACTGCTCCAAGCACAAGTGTGTGAAGTAAGATGAAACCCTGAGGTCAGCTCTTGGCATGTAATTTAGAATGAGGGTGCCTCACACCTGACTGGGACGTGATTTTAAAGAACCATTTACATCTTCAATTCTGTTTAAGCCTAAAGAATTTACTATGTTATTGTTCGGGGAGAGGGTTTCCACAGAATTGCAGCTGTAGCTATTAGTAGGCTGAGGGAGAATATAATTATATATAAAATGCTCACCTGTTGCAGGTCACAGAAATGCAAAAATACTTAACTCCATTTTTACTTCTTTTCATTTTCATTTCTTCTTCCCCATCCCATTCACTAACAGTCCCCTAATGATATAAGGAAGCCTGGCCTCGTGCTGAGACAGGGGCTTTTCATGAGGGCTTGTAGTGACAGGACAAGTGGCCTTAAGTTAAAGGAGGGTAGATTTAGGTTGGATATTGGAAAGAATTTCTACCCTGTGAGGGTGGTGAGACCCTTGGCACAGGTTGCCCAGAGAAGCTGTGGCTGCCCCATCCCTGGAAATGTCCAAGACCAGGCTGGACAGGGCTTGGATCAACTTGGGCTAGTGGAAGGTGTCCCTACCCATGGGATTAGCTTTAAGGTCTCTCCCTACCCAAACCATCCTGTGTTTTGTGACAGAAATGCAGGAGAAAATGTGGGTTGTGGATCCAGCCCTTGGTGCCAGGGTTCTAACACATCCTGTGCCTCCTTTCCCCGCAGCCACCACTGCCTGTGACCCGGTGGTGGAGGAGCACTTCCGCCGGAGCCTCGGCAAGAACTACAAGGAGCCTGAGCCAGTGGCAAACTCGGTGTCCATCACGGGCTCAGTCGATGACCACTTTGCCAAAGCACTGGGGGACACGTGGCTGCAGATCAAGGCTGCCAAGGACGGCGTCTCCAGCAGCCCTGAGTCAGCATCGCGGCGGGGCCAGTCTTCCCCTTCCTCCCACATGGTCAATCATAATCACTCACCCTCCGTGGTCTCCTGAGGAGAGGACCCTTCCCTTTGTCAATTTGCATGGTTTGACTGAGCTTTGAACAGTGCTTAGGTAGTGTTGGGGGAGGAGAGGTTAGTTTTCAACACGTTATTGTGTACTCACTTTTTTTTTGTGAAAGGGTGCCCTTAAAGACAATAGCAGGAACTATTTCATAAAGATTCATATGATGTAGCATCCTTTTTTCCTGCCTCAATTACCAAAGAAACCTCTGATGCAAATCTGCTGCCCCTTAAGAAAATAATGCACGCTAATCCACAAAAGCCATTACACTTAGTTGGTTGACCCCAGTCCTTTTTGCTTTTCTTAGCTTCTTAAGACTAGAATTTGTCTGGTTTGCTTACATTGCTTTTTTTTTTCCCTCTGTGAAGTAATTTTGTATGTATATACTTGAAAAGAACTGTTATGTATGATTTGCACTATTGGAGGAGGACTGAAGTTGCACAGCAACTTTGTGGAAGAGGCTAATATTTTGAGGGCAAACTGCTGAAAAAAGGGTTTAAGGATGACATTTCTATCAGTTTGATTTTTCTTAAAGCAAAACAGCTTTGGAAGGGGAAGTCTCATACAGGTTATAGGTCTTTCTCTTTTTAGATTTCAGGTGCTTAGTGCTTGCAACTGGACTGCATAATTTACAGAACACGGGCATTTTTTCCTAAACACTGCAGTTTGTTAGACTAGAGCTGAGGTTGGAGGGTTCCATAGTGCTTAACGATGCATGTTTTATGAAAAATAGCTGGTATCTATTAATGTATAGACAGTAAGAATCATAATACTTATTAGCTTTTCTTCAGAACTAGTTTATTTTTGTCAGTAACAATCCTAGATATACTTACTGCTGGTACAGTTGTACTCTATGGTATTTGTGTTTGATATTCACTTTAGCAGCAGCCAGCATCGAGGGCAGCCTCAGGACAGGCCTCGTGCCACCCTTGGAGCTGGTGGCTGCTGGCACAGGATGCTGAGCTCTGCGCAGGTCCAGCCACCCTCCCTGGTTGCAGCACTGCTGCTTCACAGGGATCTGCTTCCTAAAACCAAGTCTGTGTAATCTACCCTTAACTAGCTGCAGGAACTGCTACTGTTACGGATCTTGGCTGGACAACAGATTGTTACAGTTTGTGACATATGATCTTTCTTTCTGTCTTTTTTTTTTCCTTTTTCTTAAGCCTATTCCTAAACCAATGCCAAGTTGCAGCAAACATTCCTCCAGTAGAGACTTTATACAGGTATTACTGCATTTATTATCATTTGCTATATTGATAGCTACTAACTAGAAATTAGGTAGTAGAGGCAGGCATGAAACCACAGCTGTGCTAGTGCTAAGAGCTTCTCTTTTTCTTGTTAAGTGTAACTACTCTCCCCCGTACATTCCATCTTCCCAATACAGTTGCAGCTAGGGCTTTTTTTTTATACTGGGTTACCTGAAAAGACTGGTTCAGTGTAGAAAATAAGAACTAGTTGGAAGATGAACTACACGTGATGTATTATGGACTGTGTTACAGTATTGGGTCCACTGTGGCTTTTATTTTATGCCTTTTTTTTTTTTTAAAGTTAAGCTATTTAATTTGGAAAGGGTGCAGGGTAGAAAGAGATGGGGAGATTGGCTCTTACTCTTGGTGAGAAGGTGGCTGCTCAGTTTTCTTTAAAAAAAAAAAAAAAATAAAAACCCCCCAACATCTAAGCCCCCAGTTTTACACATTTCACTACCATCTTACTGGGTAGTCAACGCTTCCTTGCTTTGGCATTCAGTACCCTACTCTCTGTAGGAAGATTGTTAAAAGAACACTTTTTTATATAGGTAACTTTAAGACCATCGTTACGCTGTGCGTAAAGAATGTACAGAGAAATTTGTAGGTATTTTTTGAGGAACAATTAATTTGTTAATGATATGTAGCTATTTAATTTTTCCCTTTCCTTTATTGTAATCATTCATTTATTATTTTTTTTTTTTGGTTGGAGAAAAAAGTTGATCTTTTTTTTTGTTGTAGATTTGTCTGTAATACAGTAAAAGTGCAGGAACACAGTTATTCTATGAGGACACTGCATTAGCATTAATAGCCACTCATTTGTTATTGCTAGAGGCTACTGAGCAGTATAACAGTCAATACTAATACTGTAGATGGACTCTGTGGAAAATGTGACTCCTATATTTCTTTGTAAACACAAGTAAGATAATGGTTTTAAAGCTAATATTTTCAATAATAGCTGTTTTACAAGGTTACATTTACTTATCTGAGATAGGTAAATGGATTTGAGGGCAATAAAGATTTAATGTGCTATGTCCAGGAAAACATATATTATTGGACACAACAATGTCATGAAAGCCAAAGGGTTGGGGGGTGGTGGAAGGACGCTAAACTGAACTCACCATCACGAGACGTGGTGAAGTTTCTTCACAGAGCCAGGTTATCTACAGTTCAGTTTAAACAATTCTCTCTGTGTTTGTAAATCTGTAATATAACATTCTTTTGTGGCCTTGTTTCACCTGGAAAAAAAAAAGGTTTGGCAGGCCATCTTTTTTTTTTGTACTTAAAAGTAGCCTTAAAGAACAATAAAGTGCTCTTAAATCACAGGTGTGTTCCTATGCCTCTGTATTGCTTGGCAAGAGAGGAAATTGGTGTCTGTGCCTCTGGAGCTGGAAGCAGAAACAAGCCTCTGGTCATGTCCTGGTCTCCTTCCAATGAACCCACCTTGTTCAGGACTGTGACCCCACCAAAGGGGCTGCCACAGCCTCACCTGAGCCTTGGCAGGGGCGTCCCTACAAGACTTTGTCAAAAAAAAATATTTTCAGCAACAAAAAGAATCTGTTGCTGCCCCAGCAGCTGTGCTGGGCCTACAGGAGCTCACCAGCAGCTGCTCCTGAACAGAGACTGGTTTGGAAAACACCAGCTGGTCCTGCATTTCTGCCTCATTCATAAAATAACCAATGTCTTGATTTTCTTCCATTTCATTTGTCCCACAACTTCTTCAAGTGTTACCTAGAGAACAGGAAGAAGACAACTGTATTTCAAATGTCAACATCCACCATCTTGTGTTCCAGGTAAGGTGCATTCTAATGGCAGATCATTCATTCATCAACTGAAGATGGTTAATCCTTAAAAACAAGTGTTCTAATTACCTGAGTTTGAGAAAGATCAGTGAACCAGGCAAGAGCCTGCAGAGGGCTTTTCAACACTGAATGCATGAGAGGGGGTTCCAAAATTAAAAAAGGAACCCCTAAAAGTAACAAGACGCAAAGTTCCTGTTTGAGCAGTGGGGCCTAAATGGTTTGGAAACACAGCAGGTCTGGCTTGGCTGTCCAATGGCTGGGCTTGGGGTGGGAGAGATTCCGCGAGACCCCTTCCAGAATGATTTGTTTAACACACCTGAAACACATCCCTCTGGTGGAAAGAGGCCTAAATCCATGTTGTGAGGGTGTGTGGGAGGGAGTCCAAGGACAACACGCCCCAGCAAGCCTCACAGTCTGCTTTCCAAGGGGAGCTGGTTTCCTTTCAGGAAAAAGTCATCCTTGCACCAAAGATTTTGGGGACGGGGGTGTCCATGAGACATACCAAAGAGCATCACTATTTTTCAGGTCAGTAACTTACATGTTCCATTTTCTACATGGTAAAAGGAAGAAAACAGTAATTTTTTTCCTACCACATGATATTTCTAATTACTAAGCAGGAATTCTGCACAGGAGGGTGGCACCATGGCCAGGAGAAACAAGGCCATACACACACAACCAGACCATATACACACATTTCATTAAGTCCCACAGTATTTGTAATGGCTTTTTTATAGGAGCTAAACGAGAGGCAACTTCCAGCTGTGCCTTTGTAATCTCACCCCTACACATACACGTATTTTTGCTAATTTAATTTTAGCCAAAACTTTAATGTTAGAAAATGGACCTGACCACAAATACCCTTGGGATTGAGTTGGGATCTTTGTGCAGAGTTCAGTGAGTGCCGTCTCTATGCATTTCAAGATGGACTGGTTGTGAAAATCACCTTTGCATACAAATATATCCAGAGGCCAGAGAGATAGCCAGTGCTGGTGTGACCCAACAGAACATAATCATGTGTGTACCACATACCTGGGCAGGATGTCTCCGTGTCCTCAGTGAGTGGTGTCCCTGATAAGTAAGTGACCACTGACCTATCCATGGACTGGGCTTGCCCAGCAGGGTGGAAGGGACCTTGCACAATGTTTATGTCCTCTAAAACTAAAACCACACACAGCAGCAAAGGGAGTTCATAGATGGTACCAGGCTCAGAGTTGCTCCCGCTGGGGTCTGCACTGGATGAGGGCACTCTAGAGTCAGATGGCTGCAGAGAGCTCAGCAGGGAATTGCTGCAGCTGCTCCCAAATCAGCTGCACTTATCCCAGAATAACCAACTGTCAGACTTCACATGGCACATGCACAGAACTCGCAGCTGTAACCAGCTCACCATCACGGACTGGGGCTGTAACTGCACCAGTGAGGAGCTGCTTCCCAAATCACAGCTGAGCTGTCATTGCAGTGGGGGAACACTCCCAGGACTGAGACACTGCTGGGGGTGAGAACAGCTGTTCCAGCAAGGCCAAACTGGTCAGTGGAGAAGAGATGCAGAAATGTCCTTCAGCCTCTGTGTAGTGGCAGGATAGGGAGCACTCATTGCTCAGGCTGCTCCAACTCCTGACGTTGTGTGGGAGAGACAATTCATGGAGCTGTGAATGAAGGACTTCTCCAGCATCCACACACTGTGCCAATGCGTCATGTTGCTTAACGTGGTACCCTGGCAAAACACATCCCAAGTATTTTCAATGTTATTTGAGCAAGAGCTGCACTCACCAAAACTGGCTCACTTGGGCTTGGCTGAGGGGAACGTTCACACTCTCTTTAGATCCTTCTTGAGGAACAGTGAAATAGGAAACCACTCTGCATCTTCCTGACGTGCTCCCTGTCTCATCTGGCACAGGTACAGACCCAAGCACGTTACACACCATGGCTCCAGCTCTCTTCCCTTAGCAGACAGTTTTTTCACAGCTGGATTATGTGGTTTGTTGAAACACATTTTATCCCCGAAGGGCTCATGATAGAAACTATACTAATTTAATAATTTTTAACTTCTTCTTCCATGGGAACATTCTACCCCTCTCTGTGTAGCAGCTCTCTCAAGTGTATTTCTTGGGTATAAGGCAGCCAAGAGAGACAATTTTTTTTAAGCTGCAGTTATATATAGCCCCACAGCAGCTGCCTTGTTCTTCAGACAAGGCTCTCCTGTGTTCCCTTGGTGCTCTCCTGTCACACACATAAGGCAACAGCACTACGTGTCTCCAGAGGTAGGTGAGAGGTGAAGAGCTCCTCAGGAGCTTCCACACCAGTAAACACTGACTGAGGAGACACAGATCCCACTAGACCAGCTCTGAGGCACTGATGAGGGGAACCAAGTGCTCCATTGAGACCATCATAAAGTCTCCATACAGGGTTTACATTTAACATGGACAGGACCCAGCTCAAAGAGAAATGAGAGCTCTCCAGGTCCACCTCTGCAATGTACCCACCCTGCAGAGACAGTGGGACCAGGGCCAAACACACCAAACACCAGACCATTCCCAGTGCAGGCTCCTCTTGGGCTGCTCCTTCCTCTGGTGCTCAGAGTGGACAGGGTCCTGCTGAAGGCAGGCTCTGTCCCCATCCTACAGCCATCAATAAGAAAATCTCATATTCTCCTTTGTGACACAATCAGGAGCCCAATTCATCAGACAACAATGCACAGACTGAGGGGTTTACAGCTGCTAACTGCTGTATCACTTCAGCATCAATACCCACTGACATTCCTGCCTGCTGAGAATGGTTGGCATAGGATTAGTCTTACATGGATATTCACTGGCATGAGTTTATATTGTAACAGAGCTGGAAAAAACAGAATTTCTTTTCCCATAGGCTAATTTTACATAATGACAAAGCAGTTACTGACTTCCAGCAAGAGCTACTTCAGTCACATGAAACTCTTTCAATCTCTTCTTGCTTGTAGTCCTGCCAGTTTCACTGCTCACTGTTTCACTGTTCAGTCTAATTTTACATTTTATTTTGCTAAGCAACAGCCTTCTTAAATGCCAAGGAGAACATCTGTCTTCTCTCCATCACAAAGAGACACAAAGGCATCTGTCAACACAAAGCTGTGTCAGCCAAATGCCTGCCATGTTTAATAGAAAGCTGCTTATCTTAAAACTGTTTACTCCATTTGGGGAAATACTCTGCACACAGAAATCCTTCTGAGAGTGTCTGCTATCGTGGGGAATCAAGGCTACTTTTCTAACCCAGGAAAACACAAAGCTCCAACTCCTGCTTCCCAAAGTAGTAAAATAACGTGGGTCGAGTTGCACTAATGACATGTGGCTTGTGTGTTAAAATATACACAATATACCGCTCTGATTATATTAGTTCCAGGTAGTTAAATGAAAGCATAAAAAACACAGGATTTTTTTTTTTTTTTGCTTTCAGAGAAAAAAATTATTCAACTCGTTAAAAAAAAAAATTTCTCAGCCTATACCCAAACCTTTTCACTGGCACACTGTAGAATTCTTTTTTCCTTCTTTTTTTTTTTTTTTTGAGGGGAAGAGGGAGATGAAAATAATGGAAAGAAGTAACAATACTTACAGATCAAAATGAAGGCCTTTCCTTTTCCTTTCAAGTGACAAGTTCTTGAGCTTCTGCTAAAGCTACAGAAAATTTCAGCTTATTAATTTCCCCAGAAGAAAGTTTGTGTGTTCAAGGAGCACCAGAGGTGGCACAGCACTGTTATGGGGCTTAGGGCAGCAGCAAAGTCTTTTCTCTTACTTTCCCTGACGTGCCCTGAGTTAACTTGGTTTTACTTTTATCCATCACACATTTTCTCAGGGTGTGAGTAGTTACTGACACTGTTCCAGCTGCTCCAGCTTGTTATGCTTTATAGACTGATAAATAATTTCCTCTCAAGCAGGCAAGAAAGGTGAAAACCTCCTGCCACCAATCTGCCCCTTCCTACCAATGAAAATGCTGAAAGAAACTAATGGGAACAGATATCTAATTGAAGAAGATAATAATTTCTTCTCATTATTCAGAGCTGCTAAAAATAAAGTCATCCTCTGCTGTGAAGGTCTTTTTTACCTCAATGGCAACTTTTTGCCACTTGTTTGTAAGTCTCTCCTTCCCCGTGGCTCTCACACCTCCCCCCATGAACCAGAAAATCAATGTGGGATTCTCCTCCTGCTCTGCCCTGGTACAGATGAACTCTGGATGCAGTTATGGTTCTACCAATTCCCACAGGAAATGTGAAAAATGCCTGGGCAAGGGCTGAGAATTAAAGTCAGTAGCGATCCACCCATAATAGATCATTAAAGAAAGAGAAGCTAATGAAGGCAAGAAGAAATATTCTCCTATTTATATGAAAAGTTTGTTCCTTTTAACAGTTGCCCCATGACAGATCCCATCTTCTCTCCATTCTGTCCTTCTGTGACACACTCCCAAAGCAAGTTAGATGCATTTTCCCCTAAGACAAAAGTCAGTGTTAGCAGCGAAGCTAAATTAGCTTACAAATCACTCCTCTCTCTGTAGCTCCTG